GGCGGCTGGCAGCGCGCTTCAGCCCCGGGTGGAGCCCCCGCGGGGAAGAGGGAAGCTGGAGAAGTTCCGCGGTGCCGCTGTGGGGGTTTATCCCGCTGTCAAAGCACAAACGAAGCAAGATGGAACAGGACAGGGTTTCTTTCTCCTTCCGGTTCAATAGTAGCTGGTGTTTAAACAGTCGATGCGATGTTTAAACAGTTGGTGTTTAAATAGTTGTTGTTTAAACAGAAATTGGGGTCGGTCTCTATAGGAGCACGGCTGGAGCTCCGCCGCTGCCCTGCCCAGAACGTATGTCCTGACACTGAGGAGTAATACTGGCGTTCGTAACCTAATGTTTCAGGTAATTCTGTCCGATCAGGGGGAGCTGAGACGGTAGATGGAGAAGCCTCTCTTTCATGCTGGTGGTACCGTAGTATGTCATAACAGTGGCGTATGGATTACGCACACGTGTGATAGCATTATTTTTCTAACAAAAAGTAAAATTTTAACCTTAAGATATATATTGTCCGATTTAATACAGGCTTGTTCCACTGGAGGTAAGCTTTTTCATGGTATAATTTTAAGCACTTAATGACAGTAAAATCTGTCTTCAGTGTATTTTAAATTTCGTATTTTGAAACGCTGTTCTGATGTCTTTGTATGTTCAGCATAATGGATGTTTATATCAAAGTGGTATCTGAAATTTCAAAATCATTACGTTTGATATTGGTAAAGAAACTACTCAGAAGCAATCTTTGAACTGGAAAGCAACAGAAGACATGGGATGTTGATGTACAGTAGGGGATCAAAGAAGAAATTCTCAACAAAAAAAACTGCTTGAGAAGAGTCTACTATGTTTCTCGGTGTCGTGGTTTAACCCCAGCCGGCAACTAAGCACCACGCAGCCACTCGCTCACTCCCCCCACAATGGGATGGGGGAGAAAATTGGAAGAGTAAAAGTGAGAAAACTCATGGGTTGAGATAAAGACAGTTTAATAGGTAAAGCAAAAGCTGTGCATGCAAGCAAAGCAAAAGAAGGAATTCATTCACTACTTCCCATCGGCAGGCAGATGTTCAGCCATCTCCAGGAAAGCAGGGCTCCACCACGCGTTACTGTTACTTCGGAAGACAAAACGCCATCAGTCCAAATGTCCTCCCTTTCCTTCTTCACCCAGCTTTCTATGCTGAGAATGACGTCATATGGTATGGAATATCCCTTTGGTCAGTGGGGGTCAGCTGTCCCAGCTGTGTCCCCTCCCAACTTCTTGTGCCCCCCCAGCCTACTCGCTGGTGGGGTGGGGTGAGAAGCAGAAAAGGCCTTGACTCTGTGTAAGCACTGCTCAGCAATAACAAAAACATCCCTGTGTTATCAACACTGCTTTCAGCACAAATCCAAAACACAGCCCCATACTAACCACTATGAAGAAAATTAACTCTACCCCAGCCAAAACCAGCACCCTCAGTTTTTGGTACTTAGGATTATTAATACAGTTATTTTTCAGAGAGTCTCGATTTAAAATCGTAGCCCTGTGTTTTAGCAAACACTGTATATTTTTATATATACATGCATATCTACGTCAGATTGTTAAATGAAACTAGTTGAAATTGATTGCTAGTTGGAACTTGATTTTAAAGCTAGAAATACTTTAAATCCACAAGCTTTCAGAAACTTTATAATGAAGCACTGAACTGAGACAAGTTCCAGACCTAAAGCAAGGAATCTGTTGTGGCTTTCAGTAAATTAAGTAATGAGCATTATTCTGTTCTTGTAGAACGCTTTGTGTTTATTGATGATGTTTTTGTTTGGTTCTGCAAGATTCCTCATCTTTTTCTTTTGAGGTTTTAAGTTTTACTCTAAGCCATATCAACAGATTGCAAGGGAGACTTTGGGATTTTGTGTATTTGAAAAGGAGAGTTAGAAAAACTAAACTTAATATTGGGATATGTACTTAATGTCCATCTTAAAACTTTATTCACAGTAAAAAAAAAAAAAGATAAATTATTTTTCTTGCTCTACTAGTAAAACTGTAAAGTATTAATACTGAAACTTTGGTCTTGCGTTCTTCTTTTTCTTTGCAAGGTTGGAATTCATACCAAGGCATGGTTTATCGCTGGGATATTTCTACTAATGACTATACCAATATCTCTCTGGGGAATACTACAACACTTAGTCCATTATACTCAACCTGAATTACAGAAACCAATAATAAGGTAACAGTTCACATTTTACTTGTGCTACAAATGTTGAATTTAATTCAGACTAAAAATACTTCTAGTAATATTAAATGTTCTTTTGTTATTGTAACAGGATTCTATGGATGGTGCCGATTTACAGTTTAGACAGTGTAAGTGTTCTCTTACTGTTAACAGCTCAATAAAATTCTGTTTGCTGTGGGAGTGAGGGAAAACAGTGTCACAGTTAGCAGAAACTATGCTGCATGGAGAGTCGTAGTCCTAGAAACTTCTGGGCATTCCTATTTATGGAGTACGTCAGAAGCATAGTTCTAGCGATATTACATTCTTCTTGTGGAGCTTGTGGGATCGCTTTTGCTAACCCTTCTTAACCCTGTCCTTGAGTATCGTTTATGACAGATGTGGAAAGGGGTACGACAAGAGCCTGCTTTTGGTCCTTCCAACTTCAGTAACAGCTGAACTGGAAACCAGACTGATTCAAGTACTGTCTCAAAATTCAGTGCCTTACCTTTCTTTTCTGAGTTAGGCTTAGTGCTAAAATTCTTCCTTTTTGCTTCAGGGGGCAAAGGGTAAGATCCCACAAAAAATCCACTTCTGAATACTTTTATGCGATAGATTCTATTGGCCATACCAGATACAGTTCATGTAAATACATCACCTGTGGAGATGATTTCAGCCCGAGCTAGGTAACACACTAAATCTGTGGGCTGACTAGGATGTGTGTTTACATGTTGTCATCATCTCTTGACATTGCAAATACTTCTGCTTCCCCCATAAAAGACAGCTTTCCAGGAACTTTTCCTTTGATTTTTCTCCCATCTCTTGAGTGTTTATAAAGTGTCACCCTTATGTATGTTCTCCTTTTTTTTTTTTTTTTTTTTTTTTTTTAAAGACTGCGATTTAGAGTATCTGAGAGTGAAGGAGCGTGGTGAAGAAAACAACATTATCTGTTTCCTGTGGGGAATATCAACTACCTTGGGTTGATATTTCAATTTCAAGTACAGAATTTTCCTTTGGAAGAAAATTACCTGCTAATTAAGTGAGCTCTAGCCAGGCATTCAGGGACATTTCTGACATACTAAAATCTTTCCCCAGACTCCTGGATCTTAAGGCCTTTGCTGCATATATGGTATCCTCCTAGAGTGCTTAATCTGAGCTGAACATAAAGTTCTCTTCTCAGATTCAAATACTGTATTCTCAGTTTACTAGATGCAGTATTACATCTTCCACAAAGGTGTTGCAGCATCTGTCATCTCTAGCATTTCTTAACTGTGATGAGGATGTGAAACATCTTCCTGTAGTTCTAGTAAGAAGGTCAGGGAAGGCACATTCGCTCTACTGCAACCTAGGGAAGCAAAGTAAACTCAGAAGACCTGCCTCTATTTAATGCCCCCTCACCCACCCCCACCCCTCCCCCCCGCAAAAAACAAAACAAAACAAAACAAAACCCTGTAGGACAGGTTGCACTGAACAGTGCAACAGCAGTGTGATACTCAAAATTAAAAATTGAAAGTTCTGACAGCTGATCCATAATCACAGTTTTGCAAAAAAATCACTTTTCTGTCTGAAATTCTGGTTTAGAGGGATGACTACCACTCTAAGGCTAATCTGCTGCTTTCTTCTGTATTTTTGAAACATGCCAGAACGAACATTTACACATTAGATACCAAAAGAAATCAACTTTATACTGACGGACTAAAAACTTAGTTCTCAAACCCATACTGACAATGAATATGTGAATTTCAGGAAACAGTTCTATCTTGTCTCCTCCTAACAGGAGTAGGTTATGTATAGGGAACCATCTCCTTAGTTACTTTTAAATGAAAGACTGAATTGTGTGGTCAAAGATACAGAGCATCTCTTGTGCAGTGCTTTAAGCGTGCTTCCATTTGAAGCAGCAGAGATGCAATCTGAAGTTCTACTTGTATTTTTAGAGAATGTTATTTTCTAGCGGTAGCATCACACTCTTATTAGCCAAATGCTTCAAGCCCTGTTTAATTAGTGCCTGCTGTCTAATGAAGTATTGGTTGCTGAACTAGCCAGCCAGTGTTGTCATTGGAATCACTTTTGTCTTTTTTGCATGTAACCTTTTGTGTACCTCTCTTCTTACAGTGGATAGCTTTGAAATACCCCAACATTGCAATATATGTGGATACATGTCGAGAATGCTATGAAGCTTATGTCATCTATAATTTTATGGTTTTTCTCTCAAATTATCTAACCAACCGGTACCCAAACCTCGTATTAATAATAGAAGCAAAAGATCAGCAGAGACATCTGCCGCCTCTATGTTGTTGTCCGTCGTGGGCTATGGGAGAGTGAGTATATGATGACATCTTAAAATTTTAAGCTGTTTTCATATTTAGTAGTATAACTGTTGTTGCTTGGCAGAGTCAGTGTATGGTTTGCATACACTTTGTTTATCAACTATGAACCCCTGCTGAAAGCAGCTGTGAACATGTTTTCATCCAGCTGTGAAACATCCTATAAATCGCACTTGGTTACTAAGACGCATTGACCTGGGTGGTGCTGAAGGAAACTTACTTATTTTTGAAAAATATTGGAAAGAGGTCTCCTTGAATTTGCTTCCTTTGCTAACATATAATATTTGCCAAAAACCTCATGTAGAATCACTGGTGGACCAGATAGCCTATTGCTTTTACTTCCACAGGTGAAGGACAAAAGGCCATATGCCCCTGAACTGTTTGTTTCTGCATGCTTAATCTGATAAGCATCTCTCTTAAGAGATTTTGATAAAGCTGTTTAAAATGTTAAAGACAAACTATGAATGTCAGTCATTCTTAAACATCTTCAAAAACAGTGAAAACTGCATTCTTTTTGCTTAGCCCAGCCAGAAGCTTTCCATGGCTAAAAGAAGTGAATCATTGAGTATTTCCTGTTATGTATCTATAGAAGTCTAGGTCTTTTGTGTATTGTGTATATACACGCTATATACTGTAGCATCTGGAGTCCTGGAAGCAGAAGTTGAAATTACCATGAAATAAAAATTTAGTTTAGTGAAACTACTGAGAACAGGTAACTTCCATAAGTGAATTGTCTTTAAGTTCTTGTACAATGAATTTTGTGTTTCTCTTGCAGAGTTTTATTATTTAGATGTAAACTGGGTGTTTTGCAGTACACGGTTGTCAGACCATTTACTACCATTATTGCTTTGTAAGTATGCTCATAAATAATTAATATTGATCTTCAGGATGTAATTTTGAGTTACACTGGAATTTTCATGCCTTTTGTATTGAATCAAGGCAGTTTGAAAGCAGACTCGTCGTGTTACATGCTAAATGGGTCTTGGCAATTTGAATCAACCTATGATTTCTTTATGACTTCTCTATAGCAAATGACTATTTGCAGAATTGAAATAATAAATACTTAATGCCTGCTGCTGAAAGCAGTGGAAGAAAATCTGAAGTACTGTTTATGTGAGAAAGACATTTTTATGATCTCTTAATTTTTAGAGTCTTTTTTTCCTCCTTCTCCCTTTTCTCATTGGCTTCAACAATTGGGTATTTTTAAAGTCAGGTTTCATGTAACTTTTAAAATTTTATTAAACTTTGCATGTGACAAGCCTGACTCTGTGCCTTCATACATATCATATCACCTGTTGTTATAAAGGAATAGCAGGCAGTTATGCATGTTGATGCTGAAAGCTTAAAACTTTGTATTGATGGTCATTACTGTTAATTCTGTGGGACTGTGGAAAAAGTTGCTACTCACAAAGAATATCCATATAGGTATTTATAATAGCTGTATGTGTTCTAACAGTTAAAAGCAAAACAGTTAAAAAAAAAAAAAGATGCTTAATTGTTGAATCCATTCAACAAAGGGATATGTTAACCCTGCATTCAAACACTATTGCTTCTATGGAAAATACAATACAAACTTCCTATTCCATATGCTGTTGGAAACTGATTCTTGTGCAGACCCCCCCAATGCCCATATTTGAGTACCAAAAGAGATTTTGGATTCTAACAGTTGATCGATGTAATGAAGATTTAGCACTTCAAGAAAGCTATCTTTTACTACATAGTGATTAACTCCAAAAATTCTTTCAGAATTTGTGAACTAGTGGGAGTGTATGATGAAGGAAACTTCAGCTTCAACAATGCTTGGACTTACTTGGTTATACTTAATAACATGTCACAGCTAGTGAGTATCCAGAGTACACCTTTCTGCTCTTTTAAGTCATCGTATTAGTATTATATGAATCTTCTATGTGAACTATTGACAGTAATTGGGTTAATGTCTGGTAATTCTTATGTGTAGAATATTTCCCACTGTAAGTCAAAGTTACTATCTGTTAAATACTATATATGCTGAATACTAGGAAAACAGATAATCTAAAACTTTTATTATTTTTACTACAAAGCTCCATAAAGCAATAAAGTGTCCCACCTCTCTACCCCAAACTATTTGATGGGTGAAGTGGTATGGCCCAGGCATGTTAGAGCTGCAGACTTGCCCCTCTGCAGAAGAGATGACTTCACTCACCCCTGTAGCTTCCTCCCAGCACACATAGAATCAGCAGTGGCTATGTTAAAAATACTGTGTTACAAGGCTGGTAACAACATTGACAGGAAAAAATGGAAATAGTGTGTGCAGTGGTAAGATTCTGGCCTATGTAACACCTTGTCTTGTTGGTTCACTGCCAGATGATGTCAGGATAAGGGTAAGATGTCAGCCCCTAGACTTGAAAGTTTCATTTTGAAGGTCAGGGATTGCATTTACTGGCTTGCTGGGAATGCAGAAGAATCATTTGCTGCTTCACCCAGGGCACATTACACATGAGCTATTGCAAGAGGAGAGAGCAGCAGCTCTGGCTCCTTGCTGCTTAGCCTTCTAGCCTCCAAGCTTCTTACTTCTCTTGGCAACAGCAGCAGGAGTCAGAACAGCATGACATCCCATCCGGAAAGGCTGTCCTCCTCCTACTGCCGTCTCCGTGTTTGATGGGTGAGTGTCACGGAAGGAGCTGTAACTGCTTTCTGCTGTGACAACAGTCCCAGCAGCAGCAGCACACACTTCTTCATATCCTGATTAATATGGTTGCTTAAGGAAACTTGGTAGTAAGTGGCTAGGAGAATGCGTGAAAAGGAGAGATCAATTCCTTAGGTTTGGCTATACATTAGTTCGGTTGCTTGCAGTTGTCATTAATAGGAAACTTGTTCAGATTTGCAGTGAAGATTGCACTCATTGCCTCATCTCTCATAAAGAGGCAACATTTGAGGTGTTCTTAACAGAAGCCTGAAAGAACACATGCTTTTTATGCCATTATCCCTGAAGGTGTGCTTGGCATTGAAAAGATTTTATGGGACCTTCTTATGCTTTGCTTTAGTGTGTAGATAATGACCTCAGTCTCTGTCTGCCAATATCATGCATTTCAGAAATAAAATTTCCAGAAAAAAAAAAAGTCTGCTTTAAAACAGTAAGGCAAAGATTCCATAAATCCAGAGCCTCTTTTCTAAAATAGATAGCTTTTTAAGTTTGTATCATACTGTGATATATTTTTTAACTGAAGAGATGCTGTAAAACAACTCCCTCACAAAATAAACAAGGATTTGAAAGCTTTTCTTCATTTTCTTTTCCGTGTTAGTTTGCTATGTATTGTCTGGTGCTGTTTTACAAAGTACTGCGTGAAGAACTGAACCCTATCCAACCTGTTGGCAAGTTCCTTTGCGTGAAGATGGTAGTTTTTGTTTCTTTCTGGTAAGTGAATTATTTACTCATTACTTCTTGCTCTCAGGGTGGATCATAAAAGAGCTAAAAAGGCTGGATTTGTTACTGAGGTTAGAGGCCTCAAAAAATCTACCCATAATCCTAGTGAAATGCTGTGAGAGGAAAAGGGTACTAGTACATTGGAAAGAGCAGTCTTGTTCACTTGAGATTATTTTTTAGACTTGCTATTTTGTAAGCTGATTCTCAAGAACATAATTTATTTTAGAATCTTCACTTGCAGTTATTTCAAAACAAAAAATTTTTTTTTTTTTAACTTTTTAAAGGAAAAAAAATTACTTTAACTTTTTCAAAATAAGTTACTGTAAGTTACTATAAATTACTATTTAAGCATTGCTCACACTTAGCTGCTAATGAGTGAATGCATTTGACTTTCTGAATGGTACTCTGTGGGCTGTAGTAATACCCTGAAAGAGAAGCAACTTGTTCTAATAACTAACTCATCTTTGGTTGTGTTCTCTGTTGGTCTTTAGGACCATGGATGAATGACATACATACCTTTTAAAGTCTGTTTTCCTCCTCTTAAAATCTAAATATATAAACAGTAAGTTTTTTGTAAGATTCTTCCTATGTACATACATATACATACATATGCATACATACAAACAGGCATTGTTTACCAGATTTGCTTGCAGGGTTTTTTTGCACTACTGTTACAATAATAATAAAAAAATAATCTTTATAGGCAAGCTGTGCTTATTGCATTGTTGGTGAAAGTTGGTGTTATTTCTGAGAAACACACCTGGGAATGGCAAAGTGTGGAAGCTGTGGCTACAGGCCTACAGGTAGGAGCAGACAGTTACTTCTTAAGAGGAATGGCTATATGTAGGATGACGTAGCTATCTCAAGCAAATATTGTCATGCTCACTTTAATTAACACAGGGTAGATTAGTACTGAATTTATTGTAAGTTGGGCTAAGTTTCACCCAGTCCCCCCAAGTGAGTTTTATGCTCAGCACTTCCATATCCATGTATTGGGTAGAAGGAATGTGCCCCAGTTAAATACTTCTGTTGGATATCCTTGCATTTCTTCTTGAAAGAATTCATTGTAGAGCTGCTGCTTGTTGAATATCCTCTTCCAGCAAGTAGGTCCATCAGGCAAGGACTGATTCCAAAATGTATGGCAGGCTCTCTGAAGCCTGCCAAGAATATCCTACCTCTGGTGGAAAAGTAGAAAAGTAGCTGATGCCGGTATCCCAAGGCAATTGCAGTCTCTCAATTGTAGAAGAAACCCAGGAACTATTTTTCTCCAGTTACGAATGATTAAGTCAATATCTCTCTCGTTGCAGGATTTTATCATTTGTGTTGAGATGTTCCTGGCTGCTATTGCGCATCACTACAGTTTTTCCTACAAACCTTATGTTCAAGAAGCTGAAGAAGGGTCATGCTTCGACTCTTTTCTTGCAATGTGGGATATTTCTGATATAAGGGCAGATATATCAGAACAGGTTCGAAATGTTGGTAAGTAACAGACAGATTTGTGTCATCTGTTAACAGTACATGTATTTCCAGCTTCATTTTACACTATTATCCATCTCTGTAGTACCTTGAGAACATTCCATACCAAATTAGTGGCAGCTGCATCCCTAGAGGATTTAATGGTTTATCTGGCACTTTGCTCTTTCCAGAACTCCTGACTGATTTAGAGTCTAGTTTTTAATTTTTTTTTTAAATAGATGGATCTCAGGGTAAGTTTCAGGTGTGTTAGGTAAAAGAGAGGGATGTCCTTTTTGGTTTTTTGTTTGTTTGTTTTTTAAATGGAAAGACATCCTTTTATTTATTAAAGCTAACAATGCCCATGTAAAGCTGTTATAAAACAAAGACTCATCTTCTAATTTAACATGCTTCTTTTAGAGTTGATGTGTTCAAAGACCTTGGTATAGTGCTGGAATTATTAAAAAGTATTTTCATTTGGCATAATTCTAGGAAGGACAGTTTTGGGCCAGCCAAGGAAAATGTTTTTTGCTGAGGATCATGAACAAAACGAGCATACAAGTTTACTGTCTTCATCTACTCAAGACCCAATTTCTGATGCTTCTTCAATGCCATCTTCACCTATGGGTCATTATCAGGGGTTTGGACACACTGTGACACCTCTTACAACACCAACGACAGCCCCTGCAGTTGATGGTATTTATAACACTTCTGCTATTCGAGATGCTGAGGAGTCACCTGAACTAGAGCACAATTTATCAGAGAAAGCTTTGGATAAAAGTTAGACTCACCTTTTCTTTGAATGTGTCAAGGAGTCCGTTATATACTTGCCACGCATGTTCTGTTAACAGGTACTATTAGTGATGAAAGTTGAAAAGCTACTGCGCAGACAGGAAGAGGATATGGCTGTAACTGACATCTGAATTCTGGATCTATAATGGATGTGAGTATCTGTGAGTACCCCATGAATATAAAACACGCACACTGTAAAGGTTTCTGCATAAATTTAAGAATCAACTCCTTAAACTGCTAAACACTTACACATCATGTCAAAATTACACTGACTTTTATTAATACAAAAGAAACATTTGAAAAAATACTCTTGCTCTTCTAAAGATGAAGTGTAAGTACTATTAGCAATGGGAAAACTTAATTTCAAGAATATAATTTAAGGAGGGCAGTAGCAAAAAGTGTTTGTATTAGTTTTGGTTGTCCTTTTACTGATGGTAACTTCCATACCCCAATGAGTGTGGACAAAATGGTAACTTCTGTACAGATGCCATCTTCTTCCTTTTCCTGCATAGTTAAGTAAAAACTCTTCATGAAGCTAATTATTACAGAGCATCAGTAAACAGTCTATACAAAGAAAGCATTCCCTACAGGCCTCACTATAAAATTCCATCCCCAGAACATATGGTTGGCGTATCTGTTGTCCTTGTACCTCATAATCTGTAAGTCTTTTACATTCACAAGAGACAGCCAGGATGATAGGTTTTGGATTAATACCTTACACTTGACTACTTTTTTCCTATCCTTCTAAAATAAAAATAATGGTTACTACTTTAAAATACATGGCAGGGGGGGAAATAAAGGATGTCAAAATGCAAGTAGAAAACAAAACTGATTTCTTTATTTTGGGCTGCAATAAATTCTTTAACACTTAAGTTTTTTTTAAGCTGTTAAAGCAGGATATCTTGACAATGTGTCGTAGTAATTTGTTCATAAATTTTTGTGTGTGTGTGATTATTGTATTATGCTTCTAGTATAGCCTGGATTCAAATGTAATAGTTGATTTTTTCCCCCCATCACCCCAGAAAAGACGTTTGCTAAGGTAAAACTAAGTAGCTAGTCTAATACTGGAGTTACTAGCATTAGATTTCAGACCAAGAAGTACACTTGTATCAAAACGTTATTTTGCAAAAACTGAGAAAATCAGAGGGGTATTGTTTTTATCCCATTACCAGATTTTTACTACTATTGCATGTTTGCAATCTGACCAAAAAAAAAAAAAAAACAAACCACCACCCCAATCCTAGAGTACTGACCTTTTAGGCGACATCTGAAGTTTCTTTCAGCATTGTTAGCATTTACAGGATAAATGTTTAACTTCTGGCTGTCACAGTAAATTCATTGTAAGTGCTTTTTTTTGCAGTACTAGTGTGATGTAAATATTGCGCCTTACTCACTAGGCTGCATATTTTATAGTTGACTATGTACTTGCTGTATCTGAAGTTAGTGGGAAAGTGCAAATCATAATTTTCAAGTTGCCAAGTCATTGCCTTTGTTGTAAATAAGCAATTAAAGATTTTATTTAAACTGTTCACCTTCTTTCAATTTGATTTACTGCTACAGTAATTTAAGAGTGTGAATGACACACAAATACAACTGTCCTCTTCATGGAAGAAGGGGATCTTAAGTATAACGAGTACAAGAGTTTGTGCTTTTGGTATTTTAAAGCTTGTACTGAAAAGGGAATTCTTGTTTGAGCTTATGAAGAATCAGAATCTGCTTATTTATGCTTGATTCCGGGTATCTCTTTCTCCATATAATAGCCATATTCTAAAAGGAAACAACTTGTAAAAGCTCACAACAACTGGGGACTTCAGTGCCCACTGTAGCCACCATTAGAAATAATGTGATTTTCTGCATGTATACAGGTAAAAAAGGGCATTAGTAGAAATAATATCTGAAGGATCAGAGCTGCTGGAAGCTAAGTAGCTACTGTGATCTAGCTTTTCAAAAACCTCACTCTGAAGAATTTTTTTTAATACTTGAAGTTATGTCTCTTTGGTGTAAAACTTAGGTAAGGTACAGAGAGGGGACTTTGATAGGAAAACAGCTAGTTAAGTGTCTTGGTTGCTTCTTTCATGGCATTTCTGGAAAGCTACTAGGTTATTTTATTATTACTCAGTTATTCCATGTGTATAGTATTCCTGCATTTTTTTTTCTGGGAGAGAAGTTATTTTTTCATTGCAGTAGCTCATAGGATCATACCTTTCCATTAAAGATTACTACTGAATTTCCAAAATAAATAGAAATCTTTCAAAGACACCTACCTTGTCTTTCGAAAACTACTACAACAGTATTCCACAGTATGATCTATCAAGTTTATATAAAAAGTTCATTTGCAAATACTCCTTCATCTTTATATTAACCATATTTGTTCCTCCATTGTTTTATGCCTAATCTTCTCCCAGCTTTTAATCAGAATTCTTAAAGATTGCTCTTGCCTTACTTAATACATTGCTTGAAAACTCAGTAATTGCCATTTTCAGCCCTTTACTTAGTCTCATTGAGTAAGGGTAGAATATGTCCTTAATTTTTCTTTAAGTCATTTTGCTGTCTTATTAATTGCTAAAAAGCTTAATAAATATGCGTAACCACTATTATTTAATGTTTTTGCTTTTATCAGAGGTCTTCCAGTGTGAGAAGCCTATACAGTTCTCTATAAAACTGCACTTCAGTGAAAATATCCTGTACCTACTAGGTTTAGTTGTGTCAGACAGTAACTTAGATTTTAGGGATCATGGTTTTGCTTGGGTTTTGGGGGGGGCGTTTTGTTTGTTTTTTTTAAGAGCAGCTGTTTTCTATCTAGTATGAAAAACCTCTGTCCTACTCTAATTCACTTACATTTTGTTATGCATTGTACCCCTTGGATAAAGGATGGTATCCAGTTACTTTATCTTCAGAAAACTTGACTTAGTCATTACCTCTGTTTTGAGAAAAAAAAAAATTGGAGACCTTTCCTCCACCCTTCTAGAATGAGCTTTATTACCGCAGTCTTATCAGGTGCAAGGTTCTGCTGCAGGCTAGGACAACCACAGCTCCAACAGTCCCTGAAGTGAAACCGACAACGCCTATCTGAAACATTTGACCTAATGAAGAGTGCATATGGATATTGCATGCAGTGAGATTCTAGAAATATTATTTGTGGATGGCTCTTTATGCAGACTCCTGTCAAGGAAAGATCACAGAAATGCCTCTTCTACATTGAAGAGAGAGCACAGTATAAAGAAACATCTTGCTAACAGTCTTCCTCATATTTCTACAAAGGTAGAATCAATGCTGAGTTAGAAGCTTTTGTTAGTCTTCCATTTGGATATAAATTTAATAGAAGGAAGTTATTACCTGCATTATAGCTACATGTAACGCTGTAGAAGAGATGCAGGAGTATTGTGGTGACTGATGTAATGTTTTCTACAACTTTCATGTAGACAAGAGTTCAGGCCCATTATATTACCAGAAATGAGTCTCAGAGGGCTTCTAAAAAGTTTAGTAGCTTTACCTTCCACTATACAACTTGAGTTACTTAACAGCACTCCTTTACAACTTTTTATAATTGTCTATGTGCAACACTAACTTGCAATACTGCAACGGGAATGGCGTTACAGTCCCTGCTACAAGGCTAAGATCCCAATACACTTCAGTAGGATGCTCTGGCAACTGAGAAGTGGAACCAGAGTTTGAGAAAGAAGGACTCTATCCTGAACAGCCACATCTGTTTGTTTCTGGTACAGGCATCTGGATGCTTATTTTCTTACTAGAGAAGATATGGTAGCAAGAGAAGTCTGTCCCACTGTTGTAGTCACTGCAATAGCTAGCAATCAGGTGTTTGCTGCAGTGAAGACAATACCTCCCCCAAACTGCTTGGTAAGATACCCTTACAGTGCAAGTTTTAGTCCATCAGTGGAACCCAAGTATCTACTATTAAAGCAATAAAGTAGTCTTTTTGATCAGTAGATAAAATTTAGACTTTAATATAAATTAACATCAGCGATGTTATGAACAGTTGATTTATGCATAAGTAATTAACCACAAATCAGTTTACACATGACATTCTTCACCATTTAACTGTAATGCTAATATTGCTTTTATGGTGTTGAACATCAAGCAGAAGTTCATCTCCAACCTGAACTTGGATGGGGTCATCAAGAACAACTGCAGCTTGTTTCCAGTGCGAGGACTCATCAGATGTATTCAAGCTATGGTCTTCATCTAGATGTATGTGATACCAGAAGGGAATTGCAGTGACTTGGCCAGACTTACAAATTTGTACCTACAAAGATGTAAAATACTAGTTTAACCAGTTACACCCTTTTCAAAGAAGTAAGAAAATAAAGTAGTTCAAACCATTTCAATCAAACGATTTCAATCTATTTCAGAGATGCCTGCAGACAAGTAAATTCTGTATTGAAATTTTCAGCCAAGGTGAGCAATTAATGAGCAGCTCTGCAGAACACCAGTTAAGCACACTTCTAACTTCATGTACACACAACTCACCTTCACTTCTCTGCTGGAGCTGTTCAACAGAGGGTTCATGAGATCTAGCCGTAAAAGCTCTGCTGGCTTGCTCAAGGGTAGACATGGTAACGTAGACAGATCCAAATACACACGAACAGGTACCTAAGAGTATATACCATAACTTAAGGCATCAATAGCCGTTAAAAAGTGAAAAGTTAAAAGACTTAATGCAAAAGTTTCTAGGAATTACTGTAATGCCTGTAAGAGACAGCCAAAATGCAAAATACACCCTTCTAATCCCTTTTGAAACGTGTTTGTTGGAATACAAGGTGATGAAGGCAAGCATAACAGCACAGTCACTCTCTGTACAGTAACATTGCATCTTTCATTACTCAGACAAAATTTCTCCCACACCAGTTCTAAAACAAATGTTACCCACTTTAGCTTATCTCAAGGTCTCAGTCTGGTCACATAAACCTCTCTTGATAACTTTAACAATATGAAAAAGTTTCAGCTCTTCAATTTTCTTGCAGTTTACACCAAAACTAAACAGCTAGACAGCTGCAGGCTTTGGAACTGTACCTGGAAGACACCCGCAAACTTCATACCTTGAATTGGTTGATAAAAGGGGCTATATTAAATCCAAGAGTTGGTTCTGTTCCTTGAACAGCACTCTCCAGTAACAGAGACTCTGATTCTACAAGCATCCCATATACCAACACATACTGTGGGAAAATCTTCCCTCCGCTGTGAAGTAAACATCTGTAAAATGAGAGAGATTTCACCTCTAAAGCATATAATTCAACAGTAATGAAACAACATTAACTACATTTAAGAAAGGCACACTAGTTCTTCCTCTCAAGTCAAGTGCTTATAAGCATTTGAGTTTGATCCCATCTGACCAGACAGCTGTATCATACAAAAAAGGAAAACTTGTCACATAATACTAGAACTATGGAACTAAGTAATCTTTACTCAGTGTCTGTATCGGAAACGGTGGTCTTTCAAGATGAAGATAGTGGAATTTATTCATAGCACCAGCATCTAATACTGAAGGACTGGCAGAAATGCTTCATAAAACTGGAAGTCAGGAAGTACATGCTGTTGGGGGGCACTGGTTAAGGAGGCAGCATACCCATAGGGAAACAACACCTGATGGGTATTTAAGTCATCCTTCTTTAACTGTTTAACTAAAGTTGACAGCAATACAGGAGACACCATTTTTTTCTGAAAAAAGAACTGAGCCTTGCTTGGTCTCTTGCTATAGAATATCACACTGTTGAGAGCAGCAACATGATAGAAGCTTTCATTCAGCATAATATCAAACACCTCCAATTCAATACAGGTTGTTTTAGGTTTCCTTTTCTTATAGCAGGCCTCTTACCATAGGAATTTGGGTAGCTAAGTAGTATGCTACTGAATGTATTTTCATGCCAACAGATTGGAGTCTGCATATGACAAAAGTCAGAGTAATTTCCCATTTGTTCTTACAGCAAAAAGCTTTTCAAGTCATCCAAAGATTTATTCAAAACTTAAAAAAGGTAATGAACATAAATCATCTGGAATATTCTGCCATCATTAAGCATGAAGATGAGCAGAGAAGACTCCCTAACACCACAAAACGGGATAAACCCATTTCACATTTACTTTTTTTGCTACCCATTTCCATTATCTTATTTCTCTTGCTCTGCATTCCTTCCCAACCTTCCTGCCGTGGGTAACAGCTAGCTTTGTTGCTGCCTCCCTGGCTGTTCTAACACCACGTGTTTGTCTTTTAGAAGTACCAGTTTGTTCCAGCAGCAGTTTGACATGTACATGAATCTGGGGTTTTCTAACCTTGCACTAAAAGCTACCTCAGTTATTACTAAGGTGCTGGCTATCCTGGGAACTTCCGACAGACCAAGCAATAAGAGCTTCCATTCATATTATTGCATACGAAATATAAAGACAACTATAAAAGTGAAATCTTTTTTTTTAAGAGATGTATGTATACAATGGTCACACCAGAAACACTCTGGGAGGTTCAATCTGTTCAGAAAACAAGCTTTTCCTACTCTACAGAACCAACATGACAGTAATTTTGAAGTTAGAAGGAATATTTTCAAAAATTTTCAGAAAATTAAGGATTCCTAGGAATACTTTTGTCCGTTTATACTGTACCTGGATATTGCAGCCTTTTCCATCACCTCCTGCTGGATTAAACCTGATGTCTCTATAACATCCAAGATAATAATACTCCACAATTTGTCCGATTTGGGTCTCTGTAGCACCACACTTTCATCTTCTAAGTGGCTAAGCCAAAACTCTAATGTTTCCTTAGGGAAATGGTTAGCTTCTGAAATTACATTAAGTGCTGCTTGATGCTGTTCTTTCTCAATAGAACTGTAGGCTCTAACCGGTCCAAGTTTGCCAGCTATAATTGGCAGGATGGAGAAGCCTTCAGATACATCTAAAATGTACAAAGGATCAGGAGCCACATCTAGAGAGCTCTTGTTTTGACTCTCTTGGAGGTTCATCCCACTGCCATGTCCATCAACATCCATGGACTGCAAGTCCTTACTTGGATTTAATGACAACAGCACTTTGCCCATGGCAGCTTTAAAGCATTCGTGGTATGGTACATTGTTCAGGAGGGCTACTTCTGTGGATTCCAACACACATACTTGACTGTTGCCATCATGTTTGCTAGTCGTCTGAAGACCGGCCAGAGCATTACATAATTCAGCCTCATTGCCCAAACTCAGTGTGTCGTCTTTGTCACTGAAGTCCATCCTACACTCTGAAGTCAAAGAAGAAATCTTCTGGATCTTCAAGTAGCAGTCTTGGCAGCAAACTTCCATCATCACAGTATCTCCAGTCTTCACACAATAATCTTGGCAAAACAGCACAAAAAAGTCGTATCAGTTTCTTTACAGAAAACATCAGTGAAGCAGCCACACAGTGCTTTAAGGGAAAAAAAAGCGCATTATCTCATTTCTTCATTATTTGTTACCAGCGTGTATGAAAGAATTGTTCTAGTCTGTGGCCCACGAGTTAAAATCTGCGATTGTGCATTAACATTTGCCTTAAACTGTCCCACACTAGGCAAAATTAATTTGTTCTCAAAATAAACCTTTCTGTGATAAATAGATACTACTTTAAGAGTTCTGTCAACAGCAGAGGGGAACAAAAACATACTGGTAAAATTGCTTTTGCTATAAAATGCTAAATATTAAATATTTACATTTTAATACCTCCTGTAGACAAAGGTAAATCGTAGTTACAGGAAATACAATAGCTACAGTTTAGAAAGGATAACTTATTCAAGGTAAATTTTACTGAAGCATTTATGGTGTACAGCTCAAGATGGTCTTTGGATACTCTCTGTGTATGTTCTAAGTAAATCCACTGATACAGACTAGAATTTCAAAACAAAAATGCTCTAGTTTGACAAACATTTCTTTCAATGGCAACGTAGGTTAGAATAGTCTCTTCCCTCCCCTACGCTTTCAGTTGAACCAGTTTACAGCACAGCTGCCCCTACTGTCTATCGATACTAACTTAGGAAGAGCTGTGGACTACCCCAAGGGTAGAGAGGCCTTACAGAGAGATCTGGATAGACTAGAGAGCTGGGCAATTACCAACCATATGAAATTTAACAAGAGCAAGTGCCAGATTCTCCACCTGGGACAGGGTAATCCTGGTTATACGTAAAATTTGGGGGACAAGAGGCTGGAAAGCAGCCTGTAGAAAGACAGCTGGTGATTTTGGAGTCAGCAGTGTGCCCTGACAGCAAAAAGGGCCAACCGGGTCCTGGGGTGCATCAAGCACAGCATAGCTAGCCGGTCGAGGGAGGTGACTGTCCCACTCTACACTGCACTGGTGCAGCCCCACCTTGAGTACTGTGTGCAGTTTTGGGCACCTCAATATAAGAAGGACATCAAACTATTTGAGTGTATCCAGAGGAGGGTGACCAAGACGGTAAAAGGCCTGGAGGGCGAGACTTATGAGGAGCAGCTGAGGTCACTTGGTTGGTTCAGCTTGAAGAAGAGAAAGCTGAAGGGTGACCTCATCACAGTCTACAACTTCCTCAAGGGGGCAACGGAGGGGCTGTTGCTGATATCCTCTCTCTGATGACCAGCGACAGGACACAAGTAAATGGTATGAAGCTGCATCAGGGGAAGTTCAGACTGGACATTACGAAAAGGTTCTTCGCTGAGATGATGGTCAGTCACTGGACCAGGCTCCCGAGGGAAGTGGTCACAGCACAGCCTTTCAGAGTTCAAGGAGCGTCTGGACAACGCTCTTAAGTCATGCAAGTCCTGCGAGGAGCAGGGAGTTGAACTCGATGATCCTTATGGGTCCCTTCCAACTCAAGATATTCTAAGAATCTATGAAATGGGAGAATAGAAAATGGGTGAATGGAGAGTAGAGGCTGCTGGAAATGACACTGCCACTGTTTGTGTGTGGGGAACAGTATTCAAGTTGAGTCCAAAAAGGGGGTGAGGGGTAGGCAGGAATGTTTAGTTTTGTTTCTGTGGCAGGAGCAGCTAGCAATTCCTACCTCACCTCCCCAACCTCCCTTTCACAAGTCCCATCTTGACTAAGTAGACCCAGTCAGCAGCCCCACTTTTTGGAGTTGCTCCACAACGCATATAGAATTCAGTATAGAATTGCTCCACAATTCAGTACAGAAAAAAACCCAACTTAATAAAAAGCGTTCTCCCAAATCTTAAGCAGATCCCTTACCTGCTTCATAGCAGAGTCCCACTAACAAGCCCTGATACAGGGACTGTGCACTACAGTCCAGAAACACGATCAGGAACCACCTCACAGCTACTTGCTGTTGAACTTGTCCTAAACCTATTTGCTGCCACTTCCTAATCTCTGAGCTCTAACTAGCTCAAAACCAAAATGAAACCAAGTTAATGTACGGCAACAAGAAAATCCACAGGACGTACCAAGGAGGCCCTGCACAGGATAGACTGCCTGCTCCCAGCAAGTTTCCTCACTGGGACTTGTAGATAGAGCGTGCTCGTCATCAAGCTGTAGTACAAACCACACCACAATAGCATCTAGTATTCCTCCTTCAGTGACTGGCAGGCTGAGCTTCCAGGGCTTTCTAGCTGCAAGGCTTTTCAGCTCCTGACCAAAGTGGAAAGAGAGAAAAAGTATGAGAGTTTCTTTCCATAAATAAAAAGTGTTTTTTATTACACTACGTCACCCAAATTTCTGCACCAATCCATGAGGACACCCATCAGAAACCTGAAGTTAACAAGCCGCTACAATACCAATTATCATCATCAGTACTCACTAGCATAGGAACTGTCTTCCCACATGCAAGTGCAATTACCCACATGACCAACCTGCATCCATCAGCCATTAGAGCAAACATGCCTACATCTACGAACATACATATTTAAAAACACTGAAAACTGCAAGAAAGGCTTTAGACTGGCAAGGCTTGCCTTATGAGAAGTAATAAAAACAGAGCCAGTCTTTTGGGCTGGATTCAAGCCAATGCTTAGGCACACGCTTCACTTAAAACCTGTGTTCAATCAGTTCTAGAAATATTGTGTGTAAGCATTGAATTCACTTGAACAGAGGTTTGGCAAAATCATTACAAAAACACCAAGTCAAACATCTTTGAGGATACTTTCTTTGCTACCTGGGCTATAGGCTTTGTGTAAAAGCTCAGGCATGTACCATTTCACTACTGGGAAAAACTAAGATCTTCTCTAAAGGGTTCAGGTTATAAATTCTCCAATACTCCTAAAAAGTTTTGAATATGTAACAGGAATTAAGTCTTCTTCCATGTACAATTTATTTTCCTCAGTAATTACTTTCTGCTACCAACATTCACAAACGTAAAAGGCTCAGCTCTAATGTCTTGGACAGTTCTGGCATAAACCGATCAGAAGTCAAGCACAAGGGACCAAAGATTCTCTTAGTCACAATCATTCTGCTTAGTAACAGCCTTTCCTGAACATTTATCAGCTTCCTGATCTGCTTATGTCAACATTTGTCCTCTTTAAGTTTCAATCTTAAAATACACAGGGCAAAAGAGAAGTTCCATTCTAAGAACATGAGTAGCTCTCACATGCTGCATTTTTTATTTTTCCCTCTTTATTCTCATTCTGTGTTCTCTAAGAGTTGGTCTACCTCTCTTCTCACACTGATGGCTGAACAATGCACATCTTAATATGAACTTTATTAACATCCAGTAATTTTAAGATCTCACTGTTCTTCAATAAAACTGCTTTGCTGCTCGTCATTTTTTCTGTACATCCTCAACTGGAGAGAAAAAGAATAAGTTGAAGCTTTGCTGGCAAGTAAGCCCCTTGAAGCAAGACAGCAAGACCACAAGCATGCATCTGTTTCTCGGTTTCTGGGAAGTTATAGCTGTTTAGAAGTGTACTTGATATTAAAAATATTTTTCCTGATTATTCCTCAAAAGCAGCAGGCTCAAGGTTCTCATCCACTGGTTGTAATAACAGTAGTGTTACATCCCTATTTTGTGGTACACAACGCTTAAAAACCCACTTGAAGGCAATTATTTCAGCTTTCCCTGCTCTCTACCATGCTGCTTATCCCATATTTATTCCTCACATTTGTCCACTGCATAAACTTTTTTCTATTATTTATGACAGTTACAGACTCGAACAGCTCTAGCACATCAGGACAGCAATTTATCAACAAGTGTAGTTAAAGAGACAGCAAAGAAAATAAAACAAAGATGCAGGAATAGGCAGTAAAAAACCAAAATGATGCTATGCCACATATATCCTCTGAATGAGAAAAAGATAACTTGGATTTAAAAAACAATAAATGGTATTACAAATAGAAGGAAAAACTATAGAAAGAATGCAGTTATGAAGTTTCCTATGTCTTGCTAGAATTTCTCAAATATTCCACACAGTAACTTCTCATGAAAATTAGAAGGAGCCAGTATTTGTAATTGTTGGCAAGAGCACAGTTCCTTTAGGGCCTGAAAGTGAGACTGAGCTTTAATTACTGGCTGCTGAGGTAAACACTCACTTCCACTCCCAGTGGCACTGATCTGCTGCCAGCAAACATGTACACGGGTACTACCTGGCTAGGTGCAAGTGTTTGCAGCCTGTAATTATAGCCACATCTCGTTCCCCTGCCTGGGAGGAACTGAGCTGCTGCTGCTAATAACAGCAGTAATAAAGTAATCAGCATAACTCAGCTGCTTTTTTTTGTTTATTTGGATTTTTTGTTTAATTTTGACTTATTATCATTATTTCTCTGATCTGTACTGATGCCTTTGAAGCCTCCTACAACTCAGTTTGAGAAACACTGTTGTACCGTATTTTAAGGCTTTTTCTCAGTTCTGTCAGTTTAGGTCTGGATAGCTAGTACAAGCAGAATAAATGCAACATCCCTCTCATTCTTTTAAAGACAAGTTTAGAAAATGGGTCTTTGAAGTTACCTTACTAGTGCTAAGTGATTTCTTATCTGAATTTCAATCTTTAGTAGGTAATTCTGCTACTGTTTGTAAGTATAGCAGGTTTTTTTATTCCAATAGGAGCACAGACAATTTGTCTTTTTTATTTTTTAGCTGCACTGATTGAAAATCCAGGTGTGACCATGACAAAACAAAAAAAACCAAACAAAACCCCAGGTTGAAAGTAACCCACTCATGTTTGCAACTGCCATATTTGTCCAGTGACAAAGTAACAACAAACAGTAACCAATGATTCCAAATAAATTAATTGCATTTCTTCCCTTTACCTTTACTTATGGTATCTTACCATTTCATGACAGGAACACTCCATTAGTCTAACTGAAACTTCAAAGGAGCCGTTCTGAAACACTGTTTAAAGAGTAACACTGTTCTTTACTCTTTAAAATTATCTTTACATGCCTGCCAGCAGGCAGATGCTTAAGAGTAGGCATCTCTCAGATGAGAGTAATAGTTTCTTATTGATGCTAGAAGCAGAAGCAACATTAGGTCACAGAGAAATCGCTCCCAGTAGCATACTGAAGAGCCTTGTCTTACTTCATTTTTAATCTCAGGATGTCAGACAAGCCAACTAGGAAAAGCTATTGATTCAGAAACACTGCAATTCCTGGCCAAGCAGTAGCCAAGAATAATTTCGTTTATATAACAGAATCTATTTTAAGCTCTGACTCAATGCTAACTCCTCACCACAGGTCAATGAGCAAGAAACACACCAGAGATCAGATGTATCATCTTTTTAGCATGCTCAGCTGTGAGTGGCTGAGGTCCTTGCCTTACAGTTCAGGCCTATTTAGTATATGCATACAAATGAATATTGTGCAAAATACACAGAATAATGCTACCATATTTTAGAATGCCATATTACAGAAATACCATAAGACACCAGAGGAACTGAAAGGTGGAATCAAACTGGGTGAATAGGGCAAGATAATTTCTTCATCTCCCCTCTTTTACACTTACCCATCAACACTTAGAGACATTTTTATGCCAGATGTAAAATATGTCCTCTCTCTTTTGTCTTCAAGAGTTTCTTGAAGATTCTAACTTTAGAGGCATAAAATAAGTCAGCCCCACAACTGCATAAATCATTTAAGACAGATCTATTGCATTCTTCCTCCCCCTCCCTTTACTGAGGCTGGCAGTCGTTTGATCCTATGGTGAGCTAGTTTAGTTCCCTAAAGTATGCCAAACAAACAAAAAACTCCACCTTCAGAAACTCATAGACTGTGATCTGATGAATCACATCACCACACAACCAGACAAGTATCAAAACCAGCAGAGGATTTCAGGGCAGCCCTGCCAACTTTGCACTTGTGAACTGTTCTGAAATTGAACCCGGAAAGCAAATAAGATATGAGGCTCTCATTATTCATAAAGAGATTACTTATAAAGGACGTAAAAAAAAAAAAAATCATTACCTGCAGATTGTTGAAATCTACTGTCATTACTTGACAGGGTTCTGTCAGAGGTACGTAACCTCCAGGAATACGACTGAGCTTCTCGGTGGTGTAAGGTTCAACAGTTTCCTCTGAACCAGCAGAAGCATATGTTGGACTAAAGAACTGCACTGAATTTGACAAGTGCACACCAGCAACTTCTTGCGTTCCCACTCTGGGAGTAAAGGAAAAAAGGGAAGAAATGAAACTCCAAATAATTTGACAAAAAAACCCAAAGGAAATTCTCTGCAGGCTAGCTAAGTATTTTTAAATGCACAGAGTGTAAGAATAGAAAAACTGAAAAAGTAATAAAACAATTCTGTGGGGTTTTTGTTATGTTCAGAGCAGCTCTAAAGCACAGAAAATGCACATCACTTTCATGAATCAGAACTGAATGCTGTCACTAGAAACTGAGAAAAAGCCCAATATGTCATTTGTCAAAGGCCATGGACTTTTGCCCCCTTAAGTACAACTCATTGAGTCTTGAAGAGAACTAGAAAGAAGAATATACCCTGTGATAATACGAACAAATAAAGCTTTTCTGCTGCTGCTGCATTGGACAGATAATGAAGGTGTTTCTTCCAGGTGAACAGAATAATCAGAACAAAGACAGATAGATAGATATGCAATAGCAAAATGCATTTTTGGAGTGGAGTCTCTTTGACATAAAACTTTCATTTTGCAATACCTTTATGTATTTATCAAGCGCAATCTATGCAGAATAAGGCATTTTTCATAGCTGCAAAGAAAGTCTCAGCGTTGATTTCTTGGTGCAAAAAGGCTTTGACAACTCAGAATACATGTATCCTCTCTCGTCAGAAGATCAATTAGGTTTTTGGAAAACAACCTTATACAAAAAGCTTCAAAGAAAAAAGAATGCTATAACTGCTTTAAAACAATTACTTATATACACTGTCCATCTCTTAGGTTTGTGGACTTAAGATATATTCTCATTTTCAAAGTACGAGTCAGGAAGTTACATGAGACGAGTCTTGCACAAGCTACACTTTAGATTATTCTGAAAAAGTACATTTGTCTGTGAACGATTTAGTCCTTCCCGTTTAAGTGACAGCTATCAAGCAAATCTACATTCTTATAGTGAGATCTAGCACTCAGAAGTTCAAATGACAACTAGTTAAATTTCTATTTCTAGAACCACTTTTAATTCTGAATCACTTTCTCAGGAACCTCCCCTCCCTGGGAAGGATGTCCCTACAACTAAGTATGACTAGACAGGCCGTCTGAAAATATTCTCATCAGATATGGTCATCTCCTTGAATCTCCCAAACACAGCATTAAGTTGCCTTTTGTCATAACCTGGATTCTTCGGCAAATATATCTTGACAATTATGCATAGCAAAAATATAAAAATGAATCCGACTCCATCTTTGGAGCAGATTCCCTAGCAATGAAAGTACACGTGACATATAGAAAGCACATAGTAAAAGTACTTCACAACAAATACTAAAAAATACAGCAACGTTATCAACAACTACGATCTTCTCACCTGCTCAGTAAAGTAACTTAGATATTTTAATAACAAGGATGAGAATGTATTCTCCTTGATTTGAAACTGAATCCATGTATTATTTTAAAAGAAATACTAAAACTAAAACAGAACAGCTGCTGTACAAGGCCTATGTTGTGCAGACATGCACATCAGAATAATTCAAAGAGATAGTTTAAATCTGAGAATAGGCAAGTGTTTTACGTAAAGCCTAATAGCACTTGTAAAATAGACTTAAGACAGGTATTCTTACTGGAGCAAAAAGGGATCTCAAATTATAAAGGCAGGAAATTTAGAAGTGACATTTTAGTTCTTCCTACAGCATATAATTAACTTTTGCCAATCACTTCAGTCCTGCTAGCCACCTGACCTTAAGCTATTGTCATGGTTTAACTCCAGTCGGCAACCAAGCAC